TAATTTATTGATATGATACAGCAAATTTTATATAGACAAATCAAGTTCTATTAATGGTATACCTGATGGTCCATGTATGCTTACAGAAAATGGAAATTTTGATGGGGAATTCTTGATGAGTAACTTCAAAACAAATTCAAATGATTATCAATGGATCCATTTCAGTTCACCGTAATTATTGTTTTTTAATGAACTGATTAATTATAATAATTTAAATATAAATATATATTTAATAAATATTTTTAGAAATGAAAATGGAGAAATAACCAAATTGAAAACTGGAATTATTACCCAAGCACCAATTGAATATGGAGATGTTATATTATATTCTTCACATTTTCCAGCTTTGGATAGTGGATTTGGACTTGTTATTGCTAACACAACAATTACTGAAAATAACAATAGCACAAAAAATATTAAACCAAATCAACCACCAATATCCATATATGTTTCTTTGATATATCCTAACAAAGATGAAATAGTTGGGCCATTTTTGGTATACCAAACAACAGATATAAATTTATCAATTGATTATTTGCATTGTGCTTCAGCAATTACTAGTTCAAGATATATGTGTATTGTGAAATTAACTGTGAAAAATAAAAAACATAAGGCTTATTGGATGAAAATTTCATTTTTATCAGATGGGTAGGCTTTTATTCGATATATAATAACATAATTCTAGTATTATCTTAATTGATATTAATCTAATATTATTAGTGCTGTTACAGGAACTGAACCATTAGAATTTAATCACATTCCAGATTTTACTGGTTCATACTTAACTATACTATTTTATGGAGGATTTTTATTTAATGTTATTTCACCAAGTGAAATATATAAAAATAAATATACAATCCATGGATATTTATTAGATAATAATTTGAAGATAAATTCAATTTTAGATCTGCCAAGCAATTTGACAGTCCCATCATTTAGTATTAGTAAATCTTTAGGACCTCCAACACTCAATAGAAATTATGGAATATTTACCCAGAATAATACATTTATTGCAATTATACCGAATGAAAATGATAATAAAAATTGGCAATTAATCTCAACTGAAGTTTCCAAATTTCTACCAGATGGTAAAATATTTTTTATTATATTATACTTGTTATTAAAATATTAATGTCAGATTTAATATCTAATTTAATCATTTTAATTACTAGATAAAGGTTATAGCAACCCAAATATTGATTCAACTTATCCATCAATAAATGGAGTGATAGAAATAGGAAGTGAAGAAATCAATGTAACATACAATACACCAATAGTTCCATCTATTAACAATATTTCAATATATCAAATAAATAATAATGAACAAGTCATTTTGAGACAATCATTCCCAGCTGATTCCTCATATTGTACAATTAGTGATGATAAAAAAAGCTTAAATATTCGGGTATTAACAAGCACATTTAATCTTCCTAATACAAAATATTATGTAGTAGTTGAGGATGGTGCATTAAAATTATCTTCCACTGGCCAACCATTGATTGGAATTTATAAAAATATATGGAAATTTACTACAGGTAAAATATTAATGGTTGTGTCTTTAAATAATAATAATAATTAATTAACAATTTGATTGTATTTTAAAGATAATGTGGCAATTAAATATTCAGGTAAAAAAAATTTTATTTTGGTTTAATTAACTAATCTTTATTTAATAATTAATTTTTTTATTAAAATTCTTTAGATTCAGCAAATAGCATCTTGAGGCTCAATGTAGAGGGAACAAATTTATTTAATTTGGATTCAACAAATAGATCAGAATTTATTGGAAATTTAAAGAATGAATTAGCCAATTTAACACCAATCAATCCAACTCGTTTGAGTTTTATTAAAGATCAGATGGATTATACAACATCACCACCTACTTTATTGTTATCATATAAAATTACGAAACCTGATAATGAAGATTTACAGGAAATCAATGTTGCTCAAATCATAAGTAATTTAAATACATTAATTAATAATAAATTTATTACTGGGATATCAAGAAATAATTATACAAGTTTCATTGACGAGAATTATGGATTTATTTTTACAAGTAATTAATTAATATGATGTTAATATTTATAAGATATTATGATTTAATATTAATTAAAAATAATATATTTAATAGGATATCTCTTTGAAGAGTATAAAATTCATTTAATAATCATTTCAACAATGATTGTAATTATTATATTGTTGATTTGGTATTCATATAAAAAATATCCAGAGGTAAATAATGATATATTAATAAATGATATGATTATAAATTGTATATTAATAGTAATTAATAATTTTCAGGGTAATAATATTGTCATTTTGAAACTGTTTCTAATTCTTATTGACTTTATGTTGGATATTGCTTTTATATTCAATAATGGTAAAAATGTTCCACAACTATTTATACCAAGGTAATTTATTAATGACTTTTTTGATTTATTGTCTATATAAGTGGTTAATATATTAATTCATTTTTAAAATTATTTTTTATTTAGTTTATTCATCTTGATATTGTCAGTTATATTTAATTCCATATCAAGCATTATCATTGTTATTAATGAGATTAGTAATAATTATGAATTTTATGAGTGGTTTAAAAAATATGCTAATATTTTGGCAGTCTTTACAATAATCTCAAGTACAGAAATTGATGCATTAGTAATATTATCATCAAAAGTGGCCGGTTTGAAGCCATTTTCTGCCCCATTTTCATCTAATTTTTTATCATTGATATTTTGGTGTAATTTAGCAAGTTTTTTAATTGAGGATATACCACAATTTATTATTCAGGTTAGTAACTTAAATTATAATCAACTTTTTGAATCATATAAATATTAACATTTTTATTATTTTGATTTAGGTTATTTATAAAAACTCTATAATATCATATGACCTCATTCCATTTTTAACTTTGATAACTAGTTCAATTATTATTGCCAATAACATCATTACCAGATTATATAATATAATAATAAATGTTAAGGATAATAAAGTATTGTCATCATCATCACCAATACAAGAAAAATCAACAGCAATTAGCATTGGAAGTATTGATGATGATGAAGATAGTAAAATTAAAGATAATACGAGTAAACTAATTAGAGAAAAAAGGATTATTTCAAGATATTCTGTATAAAAAATCGATGTACCATATTATTAAATGTATTATATTTTTAAAAAATAATCTCATTTATTAATAATGTTAAAATTGTTGATTCTACAAATATTTAAACCGATAAAATGGTTAACAAACATAAACCACATCTTGCAGTGACTAATTAACAGTTAAATTTTACGAGGCGAAAAAAACAAATAAACAATTATCAATTTTTCTTTAATCGATACAACTCTCGAATCTTCCAGAAACAAAAGACCTACGAACAAGAGTCGGAATTTAGACTCTATTACTATTACATACATGCTCGGTAAACTGACCAGCATATTGTTTAAACCAGTCAGTTTGGTGTGAAGCTTGTTAAGCGGACTGATATTTGCGCAATGGCTTTTCAATTGCTCCATGTATCTCTTTGTTGTATTTTAAACAATAATTCATTAAAACAAACATTTTATTAATAATAAAATAACATGGTACCTTTGCAAATTGAATTTGTGCTAAAAGGATTCCTAAACCACTATGTAAAATAGAATTTTGCTCCATCTGCTCCATCTGTCTCAACTATTTCGTTCATATCATCAACTTTCATTTTGGGAAGTTACCCAATGAATATTCATCTCCAACGTCAATGAAGTTATGAAAAATATACATTTATTTACAACGTCAAATAGAATAAAACTTTTTTTTTCAAAAAAACTTTCTGGGTAAAATTCTACCACACAGAAAGTAAAACATTCACATTTAAAACATACTGGTTTGTAACTTGGCTAAATGTACAAAATTCTATTTTTCTATATATCATCGCTTAGATAAATAATAAATTAAAAACAATACTTTGACCAAACTTTATACTAACAAAAAAAAAAGCATTCGCTCAACTTAAGAATGCTCGACTAATTTTTAATTTTACATGTAACGATATTTCTATTGGGACACCACATAACTCTACATGGAACCCATAAAAATTTTTGTAACTGGAAATTTGATATGTAAAAAATTAACATTAGAACTTCTTAAGAATCATGAATTGGTTGATCGTGTAATAGATAGTAAATAGTATATTGCATTTGTGGAAAATGTATTAGGTTAGATAAAGAATATGATCCTGATTTATGATTAAGGCATATAAATAATAACAAATGTAAAGAAACAAGGAAAGGAAAACAGTCAATTACTAGTTTTTACCCGCAAATAATGCAAATAAAAAAACCTTACCAGAAATAACAAGACCCGTTACACGAATAGCTACAAAGTGAAAATCAAATTAAAATATTGCAAGATAACTCTTTTGTTAATGCTGACTATTTACGATCAAGTACGGTTTAACTTTTGTCACAATAATCCAGAGCTTTTCAATTAATTAGTTCACTAATTTACTTTGGTTCTTGCTTACTCTCTCTTTCTTGTATCAGCGAACCTGTAAGCGCACTTAATGGTACCGATAATTGCAATAAATAAAGATGGCTCTTTTTACAAAGCTCAAGGCTTTTATAAAGTTTCTTTTTATTTATTGGTGACCTATTTATTTCAGTCGTTTACATTTGCTTATTTTTATTTGGCCAATTGCAAACTCGCTTTAGCTTATTTCCAAATCAAACCAAGTAGCTTGTTTAACAGCCTTAGATTTACAATAACTATTTTATTACAATTAACCTTGGAAAACACTTCACTAAAGCAAATAACGTTAATAACTGTAGTTAACACTCATTAGTTACTCAGAATTAGTCCTAACTTTTACCTGCTTACCAAAGCAAATAACGTTACTAAACATTTATTCTTCTACAGTATATGTTGGTCTAACCATTTGTAAGTTCTAACAATAGTTTTTGACATCTGCACATCCTTCTAAGGAATGCCCACTTTTTCCTAGATTTATCTCCTCTTGCTAGCAATATGCCTTTAATCCTTGATTCGAGGTTAATTCTTCCAAATTTCTTTTTTCTGGTTTCGTATGGGTTTTTGTAAATTTTCTTTCTTTTTCTAATTCTTTGATTAGTTTGTCTTTTTTCTTTGATTCTTCTTTTAATATAGTTATTTGATTTATATCTTCTGTTTTTATTATTTCTTCTTTATTCATGCAATTATTATTGGTTTCCTGTCTGTGGAGTTACTGTCTTTCCTCTATATACTATCCCTCTTACACTATTGAATCTTTCTGTTACCACTAACATTCTTCCTAATGTTATATATCCTGTTTTTGGGTCAACTGTCCTTAGTTTCTGGGATTCCTGATTTTCCTTGAATGCTTAGCAATAGTATATTTTGTTTTACTTCCTCTTCTAATGCTATTATTCTTTGTAGTATTGGTCTGTTAGATTTTCTGTTTTTTTTCTGGTGGTTTTGTCCTGGCTGATACACTGTTTCCTCGTTATTTGCCATAAATCCTATACAATTAGCTAAATTATCTACTGCTTGGTCAAATAGTTGATCTCTTGTGGCAGCCTTCTAAATAGTGAGTGTTCTGGATTTCCTACAATAGTGCTAGTCGGTTCCATATTCATTGTCATTTATTATGAATGTTCTGCGTTCCTGAAGTGTTCTATTAATTCTTTCATTCCTTTATTTCTTCTTGTTTCTTATATTTTTTCCTGTATTCTTTTTTTCTTTTTCGCCAAATTTTGTATATTTTTTACTCGTTTCGCACTTATATTCTATCCACTTATTAATTAGTTCTTGTCTTTCTTCTTCAGTTTCCTCTCTTTATCTTCTAGTAGTCATATAACTTTTTCTTCTGTATTTTTTTATCGGTTGATTATGGTTAGGTTTGTACGATTTTCTCCTAATTTCTTCAATTTCTTCTTGATTTAGATGTTTCTTTTTTGAGTCTTATTTTCTTTCGTTTTTATCAGTTTTTCAATTTGTACTATTAATCCTTCTTCCGTTATTCTTTTTATTATATTTCCTTCTTCTATTAAATATATACCTCCGTCTATCTTATTTATTGTGAATCCCATTATTCTTACTATATCAATTAATTGCTATGTTAAGTTTTCTTCTTTCTAATTATTCGTTTCCAGAACTCCTTTATATTCTTCAGTTAGTTTTCTTTCCGCTGTTCTTAAATATTCTCGTTCGTCAGTAAACTATGCTACATAGTGAGTCACTATTCGTTGGTCTCTGTATTCTTCTTTCATTCTGATATTTTTCTTTTTGTGCGTATGTAGCGTATCCCTGTTACTCTATTTCTATTATTATCTCTTTCCAATCTTCTCTTTCGTTATACACTTATTGTTGATCTTATTATTTTTTTTCTTTGATTATTTTGCCTGTTAAATTTTGTTCTCGAGTCTATTTGTCTCCTGGCTATTTCTTCTATATAATTTCTTATGATTACTTTCAATTCCAATGAGAAATTTTTATAAGTTTCTTGATTCATATATATACTTTCAATAAATTATCTTCTGTTAATTTCTTATTTTCTTGTAGCAGTTCTTTCGTTGGCTTTATTGGCTCCTTTAATAATTCTGTTGAATGTTTTTATTCTTTATTTTCTTCTGATAATTTTTGGTTCTTTGTTGATAAATTTCTTTTTTAGTTATTTGATTATTTATTTTCATATATTTAAAACTCTCAACCGAGTTCCTTCCTTACTTGTAAACCTTCTTCCTTTATATAAATAAATACTTTTTTCTTGATTAATAATTTTTCTGGTTCTTATTAGTTCCTCTTCATCTGATTATTAATTTCTTGATTATTAATTTTCAATTTCTCTTCCTGTTAATTCATGTATTATTACTGCTTCTACTATATATTCCCAAACAAATTCTTCCGACAAATTCTGAAATTGCTTCTATTCCTACTATATAGAATTAATCCCACTATTCAATTTAATTATTGTATCTATTATTTCTTTTATTATAAATTCGTTATTTACTAATGTGTAATGTATTATGATCATGTGAATTATTGAACTGATTATCTTCCAGATTATTGTCAATATTCTCTTTATCTTTTCTCTTCTTCCGGTTTTCTTCCAGTATTTATACTTTTCTTCGTGGCGTAATTTTAATTTCTCCTTTCTGATATAGATCTTTCCTTTAATTCTTTTTTTTTTCTTCTTATTGGCGTGAATTCTTCTTTTAATTATTTGTTGATTTAATTTTTTTTATCCTTGCATCAGGAAATTTTTTCTGATGCGGATTTACGTAAGTTTATTATGCAATTATTATATTAAGTGTAAATATTACATAATTTTTTATGCAAATATTACAACTTTACATATTAAAATTTATGGACGTAATATTACGGCGGGGAAAATTTCCTGACGTGGGGGACAAGGTCATAAGATTGATTGTTGATTTTTATTATTATTGTTGTTCTTGTGATTTATTTTTAGTTGTAAATTGTTGATTTATAATTAAACTAAATATGTTGTTAAGGTTGTTAAAGGTTTTGCTGATGGTATTAACCCGTTAGTATGTTATAAAGCAGTCCTTCTTTCTGTCGTCTCATTCCTCTCATGTTGATCTTCCCTAGATCGTTTTCCCTAAAGCGCCGTAAGGGTTCAAGTTATCCAATGTGTGCCATTTCGCACATTTCCATGGTTTTCTGCAGAGCGGATGCCCGTCCTTGTTCAAGAGGAATGGGCCTGTTTTTAGGCAATTTATGGGTAGTCTGGTAATGTGATCGTCAGATTCTACCCTTTTAATCTCCGTTGGTTTCAGTAATTAAGAGCGTGGGAAATTTCTTATAAAGTGAAATGCCAAATACCGCGCTGTCTTATTACAACAAGTTCTTAATATTAAGGATTAATTGTCAATAGAATTTTTTGTAATAAAATCAAAATGTGATGATGCAAATTATTACCAATTATACAAAAGTCTATCCTGTTCTGTTTCAGAATTATTTATTTACCAAACAATACTAAATAGGTTTATTATAAATACTCGCATATAATATTATGGATAAATTTTTCCTATGCCCTTTGCCTTCCCTTTAAAATAATTATAATTTTCACTAGTGATTTTTCCATTTATAAATAAAAATGGCTGGAAAAAATTTTGGTTCAATAGCATTTTTAATACTTTTTTATGTGGTTCTTCTAAATTATCAACCTACAAATTCTTATAATATTACCACATATAATGATAGTGAAGCTGGTATTCGTGTATTTAATACATTATCTTATGGAGATGGGACCCTAGTTATTTATATGGTTAAATCTATTAATGAAACATGCATTGAACCAAAATTATATATTAGAGTTATTTATGCCAATGGAACAATAGAAACTTCCACCCAGATATATCCAATACCTGAATTCAATTTTTGCCAGATCATCAAAAAGGATATGTATACTATAAGAATAGATAGACTTCAACCAAACAATGCATTGATGGTTTATATGAATTCTACTGATATTAATTCATCAAGTACTTATGGAATGTTGTTATCTAAAAATGGAGAAACCATTAGGTAAGATAATTCTAATAAATAATAAATAAATAATAAACACTTTTGATCAAATTTAAATTTATACAAAAAATTTAGTGAATTTTATATGGAAAAATCAACTTCTTACATGGGTTCATTTGATGGGCCGCATCTTTATATTGAAGGAGCTTTTGGTGTAGGATTCTTATTATTTGGTCTTGAGACAAATTCAAATGATTTTCTGTGGAGTCATTTTAGTTCACCGTAATTATTATTTATATTATTATTAATATTTGCACTTTTTAAATTTAATTAAATATTTTACATTTCAAAATTACTTAGAGATAAAAATGGAAAAATTAGTAAAACAAAAACTGGAAAGTTTCCCCAAGCACCAATTGAAAAAGGTGATGTTATATTACGATTTGCTTATTTTCCAGCTTTGAATAATGGATTTGGATTAGTTATGGCTAACACAACAATTACTGAAGTTAACAACAATACAAAAAATACTAAACCAAATCAACCACCAATTTCTATTTATGCATCATTAATATATCCTGGTGAGGATGATAACAATGAAGTAGTTGGACCATTTTTGATATATCAAACTGCTGATATTGATGTGACTGTTAAATATTTAATATGTTCTACATCACTCACAAGCTCAGGATACATATGTATTGTTAGTTTATCTAAAGTTGGAAAAAATAAAAAACCTAAAGTTTATTGGATGAAAATTTCATTTTTATCAAATGGGTAGGTTTTTTTTATTCAATATATAATGCAAATATCATTATTATACAATACCATTAACTTAATTAATATTATTATTTATTAGTGCTGTTACAGGAACTGAGCCATTAGAATTTGATCAAATTCAAAATTTTACTGATTTGTCAATAAATAACCTATTTTTTGGTGGTTTTTTATTAAATATTAATGCACCAAGTGAAACATATGAAAATAAATACACAACTTATGGTTATATATTAGATAATAATTTGAAGATAAATTCAACATTAGATCTTCCTAATAATTTGACACTTCCATCATTTAATCAAAAATTAGAGCTTCCAGCAGTTAATCGAAATTATGGGATCTTTACTCAGAATAGTACATTTATTGCAATTGTACCTAATGAAAACAACAATAAAAGTTGGGACCTAATTTCAACTGAAATTCCTAAATTCCTACCAGATGGTAATATTCTTTTTATATTATTATTGAAAATATTAATTCTAATTTAATAATTGTTAAATAAACATTTGATTATTAGATAAAGGATATGGTAATCCAAATATTGAAACAACTTATCCATTAATAAATGGGATGATAGAAATAGCAAGTCAAGAAATCAATGTAACATACAATACACCAATAGTTCCATCTATTAACAATATTTCAATATATCAAATAAATAATAATGATCAGTATATTTTGAGGCAATCATTCCCAGCTGATTCCTCATATTGTAAAATAAGTGATGATAAAAAAAGTCTGGTTATTCAAGTATTAACAAGCACATTTAACCTTCCTAATACAAACTATTATGTAGTAGTTGAGGATGGTGCATTAAAATTATCTTCTACTGGCCAACCATTGATTGGAATTTGTAAAAATATATGGAAATTTACTACAGGTAAAATATTAATAGTTGTATCTTTTAAATAATAATAATTATTATTAATTAAGAAGTTGATTGCATTTTAAAGATAATTTGGCTATTAAATATGCAGGTAAGAATTATTTATATTTTCATAAATACATTTGAGTTTAATTAACCCAATATTTATTTAACAGTTAATTTTTTTACTAAAATTCATTAGATCCAGCAAATGGTATCTTAAGACTCAATGTAGAGGGGACAAATTTATTTAATAATTTAAATTCAACAAATAAACCTGAATTTATTAAAAATTTAAAAAGTGAATTAGCCAATTTAACACCAATCAGCCCAACTCGTTTGAATTTTATTAAAGATCAGACAGATTATTCAACATCACCACCAACTTTATTGTTATCATTTGAAATTTTAAAACCTAATGATAATGAAGATCCACAGGAAATAAATGTTTCCCAAGCCATGGATACTTTAAATACATTAATTAAAAATAAATTTATTACTGTAATATCAAGTAAAAATCACACAAGCTTCATTGATGAAAATTATGGATTTATTTTTACAAGTAATTAATATGATATTAAATATTCACAAGATATTATTTATTATATTATATGCATGATCTAATATTAATTTTAATTAATATATTTAATAGGAAATCTTTTTGAAGAGTATAAAATTCATTTAATAATCATTTCAGTAATGATTGTAATCATTATAATGTTGATTTGGTATTCATATAAAAAATATCCAGAGGTAAAAGTAATACATTAATTAATGATATGATTATAAAATTGTATATTAATAATATTAATAATTTTTAGGGTAATAATATTGTCATTTTGAAACTATTTTTAATTCTTATTGACTTTATGTTGGATATTGCTTTTATATTCAATAATGGTAAAAATGTCCCACAACTATTTATACCAAGGTAATTTATTAATTACTTTTTTTTTTTGATTTATTGGCTATATAATATTAATTCATTTTTAAAATTATTTTTATTTAGTTTATTTATCTTGATATTGTCAATTATACTTAATTTCATATCAAGCATTATCATTGTTATTAATGAGATTAGTAATAATTATGAATTTTATGAGTGGTTCAAAAAATATGCCAATATTTTAGCAGTCTTTACAGTAATCTCAAGTACAGAAATTGATGCATTATTAATATTATCATCAAAAGTGGCTGGGTTGAAGCCATTTTCTGCTCCATTTTCATCCAATTCTTTATCATTAATATTTTGGTGTAATTTAGCAAGTTTTTTAATTGAAGATATACCACAATTTATTATTCAGGTTAGTAATTTAAATTATAATTAAACATTTTGAATCATATGAATATTAACATTTTTATTATTTTTATTTAGATTATCTATAAAAATTCTATAATATCATATGACCTCATTCCATTTTTAACTTTGATAACTAGTTCAATTATTATTGCCAATAACATTATTACCAGATTATACAATATAATAATAAATGTTAAAGATAATTATAATAAAGTATCATCATCGCCACCAATACAAGAAAAATCAACAGTAATTAGCATTGAAAGTATTGATGATGATGAAGATAGTAAAATTAAAGATAATATTAACAAAGTAATTAGGGAAAAAAGGATCATTTCAAGATATTCCGTCTAAAGAATTAATGTATCATACATATTATTAAATGTATTATATTTTTTTAAATTTTTTTAAAAATTAAAAATTATAGTAATATTAAAATTGTTAATTCGTTGATACTAGGTAAAAATCGAAGATTTGAAAGGTGTAATGGCGAACATAATGAGGGAATAATAATATCTACTTCTACTATCAATATCATTATTACTTTATAATATAACCCGTACATCTATAATAAACATTTTACCGTGCACGCATCAACGTTATTATCGGTTTGCATTTTATTTTAAATATGACTAAACTACTTATAAAAATATTGTTAAGGAAAAACTAGAGTTTCTATTCGAATAAGGTTTATTCGAATTATTCACTTTATTCGTTATGAATTTGAGTATTCGAATTACATTGAAAGTTTATTCGAATAAATTTTAATTCGAATAAAACGAATTATTCGAATAAGAAAATTGATTCGAATAAGGAAATTGATTCGAATAAGGAAATTAATTCGAATAAGGAAATTAATATTAATATTAATTTGAATAAAGCAAATAATTCGGAAAAATTAATTCGGATAAAACAAATAATTAAGGTCCAGTTTAAATTCAAGCTCACTGGAAGGATTGCTATTTATTAAAAGAAACATGAATCTTGTTTCAGTCTTTCCTTATTAGTTTCATTTTTAATTTCAATTTTTATAATAATAAAATCAATATTAAACCTTGTTGTATATATAGTTTGAATATTTAAGTAATTGAACAACCCATGATTCCAAATAATTTAATAAAATGAATGAACAAACCCAAGATTCCGATTATGAATAAAACAAATAAAACAAATAAACCAAATAATTTGAATAAAGCGAATTAAATTTTTAATTTGAATAAACTTTTAAATTCGAATAAAATTTTTAATATTAATATTAATTCGAATTAAATTTTTAATTTGAATAAATTTTTTAATTCGAATAATTAATTCGAATTAAAGGTCAACTGACAGAAATTGATGCATTATTAATATTATCATCAAAAGTGGCTGGGTTGAAGCCATTTTCTGCTCCATTTTCATCCAATTCTTTATCATTAATATTTTGGTGTAATTTAGCAAGTTTTTTAATTGAAGATATACCACAATTTATTATTCAGGTTAGTAATTTAAATTATAATTAAACATTTTGAATCATATGAATATTAACATTTTTATTATTTTTATTTAGATTATCTATAAAAATTCTATAATATCATATGACCTCATTCCATTTTTAACTTTGATAACTAGTTCAATTATTATTGCCAATAACATTATTACCAGATTATACAATATAATAATAAATGTTAAAGATAATTATAATAAAGTATCATCATCGCCACCAATACAAGAAAAATCAACAGTAATTAGCATTGAAAGTATTGATGATGATGAAGATAGTAAAATTAAAGATAATATTAACAAAGTAATTAGGGAAAAAAGGATCATTTCAAGATATTCCGTCTAAAGAATTAATGTATCATACATATTATTAAATGTATTATATTTTTTTAAATTTTTTTAAAAATTAAAAATTATAGTAATATTAAAATTGTTAATTCGTTGATACTAGGTAAAAATCGAAGATTTGAAAGGTGTAATGGCGAACATAATGAGGGAATAATAATATCTACTTCTACTATCAATATCATTATTACTTTATAATATAACCCGTACATCTATAATAAACATTTTACCGTGCACGCATCAACGTTATTATCGGTTTGCATTTTATTTTAAATATGACTAAACTACTTATAAAAATATTGTTAAGGAAAAACTAGAGTTTCTATTCGAATAAGGTTTATTCGAATTATTCACTTTATTCGTTATGAATTTGAGTATTCGAATTACATTGAAAGTTTATTCGAATAAATTTTAATTCGAATAAAACGAATAATTCGAATAAGAAATAAGAAATTGTATTACGAATAGAAACCCTAAGGAAGACTTTATTGATTTATTAAAATAATAAAAACATCAAGGTTTGATGATGTGGTCAGGGATCTTTTTGACCAAAATTGGTTTTTTTGCATAATATCATAAGGACTACAACTTTGAAAATTCATCTAACATAATTTTGCAGGGACTGTTGCTCAAAAAAAAAAAGTGTTATATTATGATTTGACTATTTTATAATCTCTCTTTCATTACTTTTGTTTTCTTTTCTTAAGTGGTATATAGAATTACTACTATATAAAAATAATAGGAGGGTTGCTGTGTTGTTGATGATAATTTTACATGCGAATGAATAAACACTTCCAATACAAGGTCCAATAGTTCATTGGCTTCAAGTTCCAATGATTTAAGCAGTGGTTCCGGAAGACCTTTAAAAAGCGAATCGTAACACAAGCATTTTGAAAAAATGAAAGATTCAAATGGAAATGAATTCATAAGTTGCAAATTAAAAAAAAAAAAAAAAAAAAGAAATATTATTATTATAAAAAAAAAATTAGTCGACTAAAATAGTCAACTAAAATAGTCAACTAAAATAATCAACTAATAGTTGACTAAAGAAATTTTTGACCAACGAGTAGTCGACTAAGAATTTTTTGGACGATTCCAACCTCTACTCAACTCAAATGAAGTTTGTGTACTAAGTGTTAATTGGCAAACCCGTCATCAATCGGATTGAACAACAAACAACAATGTATAATAACACAAGTGATATGAAATATCAAAGAAGACATAATATACAGAATCACGATTTTTCTCTACTCAAATAGTTTTCGCGTTGAATTGCATGACCAAATTTGATAATGATTTTCTTTAAATGTAATATGTTCGTTAAACTTTTTATTGTAAAGAACTTTTATTATCACAAATAAATCGATATATGTTGTAGAAAATATTCTATGAAAAATTTGTTACACGAAACTTGGTATCAATTTCTTAAGAGTATAACAAAATTTGGAATTTTCAAAATGCTAAGGCTCTGCCAATTTTTAGTTTAAGAAAAAACTAGCCGATAATTTTTGAAGCTTGAATCATGAACAATAAAACTTATCGGTTAACTTTTTCTAAAATGATGTAAAAATTTTTTGTTTTAGTATTTTGAAGCTGACCAGTTGTTATTATAAGCAATTAATTGGTTATAGGTGGTCTGCACCGTATAACAAGAAGTCTGAAGGTAGTTTGATTCAAGGAAACGCAAACAATGTTTTTTTTTGATAATTTGATAATACATCTGTTTTTTTAAAAGGTAACTTGATTTTTTATTAACACATTCTTTAACAATAATAGTTGCTTTTTTAACAGAAATTTTTACTTATTTGATGAACAAAAAGGTAGAGTAATTAGAGAACTAGTTTGTAATGATGTTAGAAACCATTTAAAGATCAAGATCAAAATTATTAATTATTTATTCATTAATCAACCAGTAAAGTCACATACAGCCAACGCGAAAACGGTTGACAATGACGAGGTTGATTTGGAAGAGTGGACAATAAATCATCAAAAACGAAGCAAAAAAATTCGAGAACTGAAAATAAATACTCAAAATGTACCGAGTTATAATAAAACGAGGAGGAGAACTAGAGCAACAGAAAAACATTGTATGTAAGAATAGAAACCATTTAAAGATAAAGATCATTAATTATTTTCACAAGAGCACATACTTTTATCCTTTTAAACATTATTATGTAATAATTACGACAATTATTTGTAAATAAGAAATTATCGTCGTTGATTGATTATTATTATGTACAAATTATAGATCGAATTATTTGTTTTTCATTGATATATCTGATATAAATAGAAACAAAATCCCTCTTTAACCTTTGTCGCCTGTAGCAAATGTTTAATAACCTGCTTTTTCTCTTTAAGAATTTTCCATTGCAATTGAAGATAACTTTTGACCACTAATGATCCACAAATGTCCAATAAAAATATTCAACATTTTCACTTTTCCAATCACGCTGTCGATGATTTCAGAGAAACAACATTCATTGCCTGAAGATGGAATGATCGTTTTATAATATTTACCAAAATCGAAACCTATCAAAACCTATAAAATGCGCCTTCTTCTAACCTGGATTACAATCACAATCACAATTATAATTATATTTTTCAAATGATCCACCCAGAAAAAGAGTCTGCGAACAATGTTCCGTTCATTCAATTCAGAAGAATATTATTTTGAAGATGTTTAATGTCGCAAGTTAACTTTTTGAATTAAAATTCCCCCTGATTGTCGATCATGTAAAATTATATCGAGTATATTTGTCCTGCCATATACAATGGGGAGATTTGGTAGACAAAAAATTTATTTATTGAAAAAATTATCTTTACTATGTAATGAACTTAGTCGTCTTTATGGATTGCGTTATATATGTTAAAATAAATGGGTCGGTACTAACGTTATATTTTTATTTATTGCCTCTATTCCAAATGATATATATTAATATGAACATATCATAAATTATATATATAATAACATTTTATATATCAAATATGAATGTATCGTAAATCCTATATATGAATATATTTTAACGGGTGTCTAATTATTAAAAAAAAAAATCGTAAATAAAAATATTAATTAATAGATATTTATAAGACTATATGTATAACATAATATGTGACCACTCTCTATCTAAGGTTTCTTCATTCTTTCATCCATTCATCATTCTTCAACAAATTTCTTAGAAATAAGAGTAAAGCACATAAGCTAAAAATTAAATTAGCATCTTAAGTTTTTTTTTTCAATAAATAAATAGCTTTCCTATAATAATAATCACATCATCACACCCGACATCCCATTAATCCCACTAAGTCCAAGTCCATTAAGAGTACTAATACCATTCGCGCCATTACTATAATTGTTGGAATTGTTTATTCCATTTAAGTTGGTTAGTTGATTTATATTATTATTATTTTGATTATTATTAAAACTATCATTCAAAATCCTTAATGTGTTCATAACTTCAAAAGGATCGACTGTGCTGGTGAATTGTTGAATTGCTGGATCACTATTATTTAATTTTTTGAAAAATAAAAATAAGTCATCACGATATATGAATATTATTAATGAATTTAAATCAACAACAAATAATAAAAGCATAAAACATACGAGACTCGCAAATAGGGATTATACTGTAATTCTTCTTCAATTGTACTTGGAACAGTACAATGATTCATATGTGCCCATGTTATTTTTTTCTACAAGTTATTAATTGATAATTTCATTAATATATTTATAGATTTATAGAAAAATTTTTCAAAAATTAACTTACACTCAAATATTGATTATTAGGATCTACAGAACTTGCAAACTAAAAATTAAAGAATTTTGAATTTGAGATTTATCAATTCAATTCATATTAACATTAATATTATTATTATATTAATTTAATTTAATTACTTGGAGATTAAGCAAAGCAGATTCATGACCACAATAAACTTTAGTATCTTTAGGAAGTTTACCCAGAATATTGTAAAGAACATTATGCATATCTTTAGTCTCTCCTTCAGCAAATCTTCCACACCCACCTAAAACAATTTAAATAAAAAAACCAGATATTAAATTTTATTTTACAATCGAATAATCAATTATTTAATTAAATATTAATTCATTCATTCATAATTACCAACTAATAATGTATCACCAGTGAATACGGCCTTTTCCAACTCTTCATTCATTTCGTTACCATCACGTACATAATAACACACACTTCCTTTGGTATGAGAAGGTGTATGAAATGAACGAACTTTCAATGTGCCAACCTTTCCATTAATTAATAATAAATTGTGAGATCACGTGACCAAATAATCAAGATTAAACAATACGTCGTAATTATCTAAATCGAGCTTCGTATAATAATAAAAACAAAATAATAGTAATACATACAGTGAATTCTTCATTATGCTTACAGACATAATTCAATTCTATAATATTTTATATTAATAGTTAACATTGAGAATAATAATAAAATAAATACATTTCTAACCGACGCGAAAATATTTTACCTGGTATACGTGCATCAGCACCATAAACAGCAAGATTTGGTTTTGATGAAACCAATTCAATATTACCCATAGAATGACGTCTTAAAAGAAAAATAAATAAATTATATGTGCATGTATATATAAATATAGGTCTCTATATGATGAATGATAATTAAAAACAAAACATACTGATGATGATGAGTTGTTAATATTGAAGTTAACTTCGCGCCTGTTTGAGCAAGTATAGCCAGAACCTTCTGTGGATCAGCTGGATCAACTGCTGCAGCTATGTTTTATTCGGAAAATTATTATTATGTGAAATTCCAAAATTCCAAATTGAACATTTAAAAAACAGACAATATAGATAATAATAAAAACCTTCGTTTGCTTTATTATCAACAATTAGATAAGAATAGTTATGTTCAAATATTTGTATTGGAATAATTCTCATTTTGTAAGATCTCTTTAAAAATTTTTTGAAGACAAGTTTTGATAAAAAGGAAATAAAAAAATTTTTTTCTAATCAGGAGTTTTCGGAAATTTTATCAAAATATTAATAAAAATTATAAAAAATAAAATAAATAATTGAAAAAAAAAGCGTGACTAAAACATTGAATTATCGAAAACTTGGCATTTGTTTTTTACGGAAACATTATCAAATTGTACATTTGTTTAAAAATGAAATAACTGTTATTATATATATAGGAATAAAAAAAATCGGGAGTTTTCTTTTAAGAATTCGAGAAATTTAAAACCTTTTTTTTATATTATTTAAATTGATGAAATTAAAATTAAAATTTTGGGGTGGAGCACTTGATATGAAATTCTGATTGGCCAATTTGACATAAATATAATTGCACCCTAAAATTTTTTGGTGAGTCTATAACGTTTTTAGTGTGTCACTAAACTCTTGGCGTTTTCTTTGGAAGTGACTAATTTCTTGGCATATTTCCACTTTTGGGGAAATTAATCAAAAAAAAATATAAATTTTGCACATTTCGTTAATTCGTTCATAGCATGATGGACATTCAATTTGTGTTACAAAGTAACATGTGCGCATCTTTTTAAATAAGTACATCAATTTATTTGTACTTTTATTGGCTGATCAAATAATAAAATAATAATAATATAAATAAATAGTGAAAAATTAATTTTCAGAAGTATCCATTAAAGGTTCTGAAACAGGCTCTAATTTATTTTTTAAAAAATTATCATTAGAAAACTATAAAATAATAAAAAATTTTTTATTATAAATTTTATTTACCTTGTTGTAATTTAATTAAAGCAGCTCTAATATTTATATTGAGATTGTTTGATG